CACAACTTAAGAACAAATCTGTGCGTACGAACGGTTCTTGCATGAGGCCAAATGTTTTTATCAGCATCATGTGACTCAAAAGCCGAGAAAAACTAACAGTAATGATGTTTATCGTTACTCAGTTTATACCAGGAACATGCTGAGAGTTTTCCCCATGATGCTGTTGAAGAGGTCGAGGGCGGAGTTTCCGATCACCATGAAGAAGTCCGACAGGAAGAGGAACTCTCTGCAGCCGTTGTCCAGCAGAGCGTAGTGCTGACTGCGGAACAACGTCTCGTAGGGATACTGAAAAAAACACACAAACAGGACAGGAAGGATTATTTTCTTCTCTGGCTCGGAATAGTTTTGATGTTTTGACCTTTTAGGTTCAAAATGCTTTACCTGTCTACTATTATAAACATGTAAATGTTCTCAATAGAAGTTAATACCTTTTACTCTGAAGTAACTCCTGTTTCTGTTTAAAAAAACAACAACATTGCTTCTACAATTTATCCTTTCACAGACTGTGATTTCTCTCAGAGTGCAGCTTCACAGTATTTATAGCTGTTTAAACTCATGAAAATATGGTATAAAAATAATAAGTAAAACATTAAAGGATCAGTTTTCTAAAAAGACAGACGCAATTTGCATATTACATTAACGTACTACTGCTTATAATGAAGATAGTGATAATAACTAGGGGTGCACGGTAATGATCGGCCCGATATCAGGGAATTATGACGTCATACTTATCGATCCGATATCATAACAAACAGAACCGATAATATATGTACATTTGCCAGCGCGGCGACGAGAATGTGTGTTTATTTTTACCTGTTTTGGTCAAGCTGCTTCCCGTCCGACACGACCCGAGCAACGTTCAAGTTGCGTCGGAATAAACAACTTTCTCACTAGAAAAATAATTAGAATACTCCGTGCTGAAAAACAACCAGTTATTTTAATAATTATTAATATTATTTTACCAATAAACTCTGTATGTTACACAAAAACTTTACAATTATAAACATCGGAACAACTACTCCCAATTTGAGATCATGTAAAGTCCGTTACCTCCTGAATGCAGCACAAAGTCTGTTCTGCTGAAATGCTAACAACAAGCTAGCGTTCAAGAACTCGTCTGGACTTAAATAATTGCTGAGGCTTTTGACAAATCCAATAAAACTGCCAGAGATGACGCAGATCTCAAGCACAGTGTAACGATGGAAATGATGACAACCAGCCATTCACCCTCGTTAGCTCGAAGCTTTTATCACCAGAGAAACGTATCGTTATCGGTTCTTAAAACGAGTTATCATGCATCCCTAATACTAACGTCTCTTCTTTACATTGCAGCTCGATCATTTCAGTTTATTTATTTTTTAAACGACTCACCCTGCTGTCTCCTCTCTGAGCCGTGTGAGGAACCAGGATGGGCCCCTCCAGCTCTGCAGGACTCAGTATGGCCCCCCTCTGGCCCAGAGTGAAGATCGTGTTCCTGCTCTTCAAAGACGGTTTGGAGAAGAAACCTGCAGCTCCGAGTCAAGAAGCCTCAAACACTCGGAGGTTGCGTCAGTTTTACCAGGACCTGACAGCTGTCCTGCCTCAAGGATGTTTCACTTTACGCATTTAAAGCCTTCTAAACCGAAAAACTGATCTTTATATTGCGGAGAACTCTTCATCTACACTGAAAACGATGTAAATTGGTTGGCTGCTGAAGCCAGGCTTAAAATATTTTTGATTTATCATTTTGTTGGTCAAAACCAGGGGTCTGCAACCTGAGGCTCTAGGACCACATGAGGCTCTTTGAACCCTCTGCAGTGGCTCTAAAATTTTCTGTTTGTTTTTTATACCCACAACAGAAACCAATTTGTATGCAAATATTTGCTCAATACTACTAACACAAAAAGTAAAACCTGTAGATTAGCTCATGCTAGCCTGTTGTTTACTTAAACAATCCAGCTTATTGCTATGATCTTTCTCTCAAATCCATCAGAATTACCATTTAAAATTTTTGAAAACTACAGTACATAATAATAAGAATTAGAAAATAGTTTAGTTGTACTATTTTATGAAATTCGATATAAACTATATAAAGTATTTTTTTTGTTTACATGAAAATAGTCTTTTCATTTGTCCTAATGTGTAAAAATAATAATAAATATTAAAATTCACAGCACATTTTTTTAGTTTTATAATGTCACCTCCACTGGCCGTAAATGTTCCCAAAAAGGCCTCAAAAAGGCCTGTGGACCACCAGTTGATAATCAAAGTCGTAGCTTGTTTTGCGGCTCTGTCGAGGAGCAGAAATGGCTCTTTTGATCGTAAAGGTTGCAGACCCCCGGTCTAAACTTGAAGTGCAAAACTCAAGCCCCCAAACAGACATTAAAGGATATCTTTCTTAGCCGTGTCTTCCACTCCCATCAGGTCGTCTTTGTCTGCCACCTCCTCATACTGCAGCAGGAAACACAACCATCAGGTAACATTTAACATTTGTGCATTTAAACTACGGGTAAATCTCTACAGCAGACGGTTCTGCCAGTTGAAAACCTCAGATGTGGTWTAAGCTCAGACAAGTTGTGATCTGGTTGATTTGAATATGAAACTCACTAACCTGAACTTTCAGAAGTCTGCTGCTGTAGGATTTAAAGTAACTGTAGTAAATCTTGCTCATGGTGTCCACGTACTCGTCTCTGATCTCCTTGGCTACAGTTCTCTCGTTGGCCAAAAGGAACTGATAGAAGAATCTACAGCGGAACGAACAAYGAGGTTTAATGCTTTGTTTTCTACATTTTTACGTCACAATAAGAAAGAAACGTTATTTGGCTTCTGTAACACGACACTGAAGTGTCTGTTTCCGACATGCTCACCTGTACTTCAGCAGAGTGTTCTGTGGGATCTGATAGTTTGTCATGGGTTTCCTAAAGGAGTAGATCTTCTGAAGAATGAACTCTCTGATCTTTGTAACCGCCTAGGGAGGAGAAATGTCATTTTAATACTGTATCAGTGTGCACACATTTAAACCGCAAACTCATATCTAACTACACAAAAAGCCTGAGAGTCAAAAGAAAAAAAAGAGAAATCAAACAAAAATGCATCGTTTTGGAGAACTAAGAGTTGTTCGTTTCTTGATAATAGCGAACATCCACAATTTTCTAAAAATAAAACAAAAGAAAAACAGACTTTCAAAGTAATTCACCTTCACTTTAAGACGATCAACGATGTCCTGGATGTCGGAGCAGGCCAGAGTTTCTCTGAAGCTCAGCTCTTTGGCAAAGTTGATTTTGGAGTTGAGCTCATGGAGCTGCTCGAGAAACTCCTGCTCCGTCACTGGACTGTCCAGGATGGTGCTGCAGCAACACAAAAGAACATTAAAAAGGCGACACATTAATGCTTCACTTCACCTTTTCTTACACAAAACGCTGCTAAGAATCGTTTAAATGCATAGCACTCCGTTGTTGTTGCTTTTTCTCCCAGTACTGTTTGTGTTTTTCTGTGCAGTTGGGTATACTTACGAGATCATGGCTCCAGGCACCACCAGCTCATCCACCAGCTGGCTGAGGTGGCAGCGAACAGCCTGCCTGTTCTTCAGGCGGACGTTCATGCTGACCGACTGCTGCTGCAGGGTCTGGATCTCACTGCTGATGGAGGACAGGTCGCTCTGAAAGCCGCTCAGCATGCCCTCCATACGCTTTTAAATCAAACAAACAAAAAACACTTTAAGTTTTATATTAATAATTATTTTTAAAACGCATAGATGCTTTTAGAAAATACAAAAGACTTAAAACTACAAAGTGAGCCTAAATTTTGTCTCCTCTTACCTCCAATATGGAGTCGCAGGCAGTGATCTGGTTGTGTAGAAGAGCAATATTCTGACTTTCTTTAATATCTAGCAAAGAGTTCAAGAAACTACACAGAAAACCTCTGTAATCTTTAATTTCTGCCAGCAAAAGGCACAAACAATCCTTCTCGAGTTTAATGTGCACCACAATAAATTATTTAGTTTAATGGTAGTGAATGCAGCAGCATCATTTAGTCATTTAAAAATAACACAAAATCATCTCCAACTAATTTTAGCATCATTTGATGACAAACCAAGTGATGCTCCTCATTTTTATGGATATTAGGACAAAAAAGAAGCAATAACAGTGAGAGAATATAGTAATGCTTACTTAGCTGGTAAATATACATAAAGAAAAATACACCCCCCCCAAAAAAGAACAATAATCACAAATCTGCTAAAAGAACAACAGAAAATATGGAATGATGACGTCTAACATGTASGCGTTTATGCTGCGAGCTGCAAGGATACAATCTTTGATTGAGGCCTGTTCAATCTTCTGCAGCTCTGTTTCCACCTGCTTGGAATACTGACGCAGATCAACACCCTGAAAACAGACATAAAGGATGCATGATGTCACATAGTAATAGAATAGTTTAAAAATGCAAATTGATTTCTCAATCTCCCGATCTATGGTAAACAATCATTCAGTAAAAAATATCATTTTCAGTGATACAACCACGTGCAAAAATGATCAAATTGTTGCTTCCACATTCTACAATGTAAAAAATAGTAAAAAAAAATTTTCAACAGTTTA